CCTAAGCGTATCCGCCATTATTGTCAGATGATCGCATACCGAATTTTTAAGTACTGATCGACGGATCGAAATCGTGAGGGTGGGTGTGGAGAATGCACGAGTGAGTTGAGTTGAGCCACTGGCTCACGTTCTTTTCGTCCAAGTATCGATCGACCGGAGAGAGAGTGAGAGTAAGAGAGTGAAAGAGAGAGAGAGAGAGAGAGAGAGAGAACACAAGTACCAGTTCCATTCTGATGTCTCGCCGGGCTCGTCTCCATAGAAATTAGCCCCCGGGTGCGTTTCCGCGAACTCGTCTCACCTATTCCCGGGGATGCGTGGCCTATACAAGTGAGGAAAAGAGAAAGATGTGACGTGTTTATTCGCGCATTGGAATATATAGTACTCGCGAACACGCAGTGGCCACGAGTAAATGGGGGATTGGATATTTTGGGGTGCGTTTCGCTCATCAAATGCCTCTAGTGAGTTTCTGTAACCTGTGTGATATAGCACACTCATTGGTACACTGAGCGTAGGAATTTGTAATTTACGATCACGCTGACAAAGGTCTACGCTTCGATGTAAATTGTTGCGATTAACGAAAGATGTTTAGACTCATCTGCCAACTCTAGAGTGACAAAGAGAGATAATATATTATTTCTATTTATTTTGTTACCACAAAATGCTAATTCCTTGTTCGAATATTATTCTTATCCCTGATGGTAGCACACAGTCATTTATCATATAAATTTTTCCTCAATATTTAAACCCATTTATAAATTTCGCAATATCCCAACTCCAATGCAGCCTGTCCGAGTACAATTTTTGCAACGATATATTCGCGTCCATACAGTAATATATCATTTAAAAAGTGTTTTTTTCAATAACTCATAGCGGCGTTTGGTCAGAGTTTGCCCTTCACGCAGACCACCCGAACCTCCCCCTCAACTCTCCTCCCGTTCTCTATACCTTTTTAATATATCTCCCTTTTTTATTATTCGCATTCTTCATTCTCTTTTATTTTGCACGTCAGTGCGTACAGACTTGATGAGACTCGACATTCGTGCAGATCGACCGAGCGACCGGGTCGGCAATCGAGCGAAAAACCACCAGCGGGTCGTCTCATGCTGCTTATGTCGCACATGCGCGAATCCCCTTAGCTCCTCGACGATGTGCATGACTCGTTGTCAATCGGCTGTATTCGACTACCTTCGTTGCTACTCGGCTATCAAGAAGGAGGTCGAGTACGGCCACGTACAGCCGGAAACGTCCGAGCACTGTTCGACCCAACCAGGATCGTAACTATTCAGCTACTAAGGGTGGTAACTTGCCTATATAAAATATCGCAATCGATTACATTTTCAGTTACATTATATTACTTATATATGTATGTACTACTGTTCATGCCTTTGTTCATTATAATTATTCACTATCTTTACTTGGGTCAACATGAAGCGTGTTGCCACCTGCTATTTATCATCAAAAATATCATGATTAATTTTAATTATTTTTTTCCGTATTCGATAGACTACTTGTCACAGTATCTTTCTAGAAATAAAAAAGAATATCGTTCAATGATTATCGTAGTAACACTAGTAAATGACATTTTTACACATTGATAGTCACATGTTGTTTCAAGTATTGAACGTATTAGGACTCTTCTTTCACCATTTTCAATCATGACCCTTAGAAAGTTGCTTTTCACTTTCATATTTTATTACAACCATTTCTATTATTTGTTAGTACTTTTACTTGTCGTTTTTCACACATAAATCTTTCATTTTTTTATTTTTTTTTTCATCCTGAACGATGTGATGATGGTGATGATGATGATGTGTGTAGCCATGAGGCGAGGTTTGGCATTTATAATCGGAGCGGAAACAAGATGATGATAATGCCTGTGTAACAGAGATAATTTAAACGACAAATTTATCGTCAAATGCACTTTGAGAATATTTGTTATTATTTTTTCATCAGCAAATAAATAACATAAATGTATACTACATTTATAAATGTATCAGTTTAAATTGTTTTATTAAAAATTAATTATTGCTAGAGTAAATGAATTATTTGTTACAATAATTTTCATGCTTTATTTGAATAACATTAAACTGAGACTAAACATGCATAAAAATAGATAATTGTTTTAAATATTTAGTCATAATTATTTGTAGTTAGTTGATTGATATATCCGTTGTTTTACAACAATCATTTGGGTTTTCGATAAAAATTCTGTGAATTAAGTCATGCATTCCGGCAAATTTGAAAGGGCTCGAAAAACAAAGAGAACAAAGGCCACCCCTTTGGTAGTAAAGGCAAAAACTAGGGGATGGAAATTTCCGTAGAGTGAAACTCTTCAAGGTTCGGTGGATTATTGAGTCGGGGTTCTTGGTGTTGGATTCACGGTGTTGCTTACAAAAGGCCACGAATGTAACCGAATGATGTCGAAGTGAGTCGAAGCCGGTACAAGCGGTGGTTTGGGGAGTCATGGCACGAACTATGGCTATTAACCGAACACCATGAACCGGCCGGTCAGCTGTAAGCCGAGTTGCCTGATTGTTGTATTGTAGGGAATATATTCTGTCGAAAAATATTTCACGGGATATATAAGACGTTCAGGATAAAGAAATTGACGAAGAAACGTGGATTTATTGAAACGAAGAACGACTTTGGCAATACAGAGAAAGGGTACAGAGATTGAGAGAGACAGAGAGTTTGCTAAAGAAGTTGGTAAAGAACGAATATTGTAGAGGTAGAAATAAGGAGTACGAGAGAAAGAGAGAGAGGGAGAATGAAGTCAGCGCGCAGAGAGAAGGAGGGAAAATGAGGTAGAAAGACACTACTGAGTGAGAGAGCGAGGCCAGGGAGATCTGGCGCAAGCGAGGGCGACTCGAGCGACCAGAAGAGTGAAGACGAAGGCAGTGGGAAGCGACAGTACTCGTGAAGCTGGCAGTCTTCGTCGGTCGACATCACGGCACGGATCGGCACTGTCGTGTGTGGGTGAGCACAAACCAAGTTCGTCAGAACAACGAGTTGGTTGAGGAAAGCCTGCCGGGTTTTGAATTGAGAATATGAACAAGGGTGATAGTAGTATGGCTCGTGAAAAGTATTGAGCCTCTGTTAAAAATTGTATACGTGATAGTACAAAGGACTCTGATAAAATAAATGCTAATCCAGGCTAATAAAAAAATACTAACCGGCAGGCTGATTGCTCCAAGGCATGAATTATCATGATGGTGTGCCTGGAAACTGAACTGAATACGAAAGATGGAATTTGGAAATTTGAAGTAACAAAAGAAATTCTCTTATACCGGCAAGTATCGCGGCTGTGAATGAAATATAATAAGAAAAAAAGAAAAAAGTAAAGAATAATTATTGGAAGAAAACGTGCGACAGGTTCGTGTGTTGGGTGTCAGGTGCATTAACTATTATCAAGTGCAGTTAATTTTTTTATGATTTTATTTTCTTCCGAAACGAAGGTATACGTGCGCCGGTGCACATAGTGATAAAGAAAGTGTGATATAGAGAGTATTTAGCCTTCATTTTTTATGTCTCTAAGAATTATACTTTCATTTTGTTGAAAAGTGGAACTTTACTTCATTTTCATTCTTTTTTTTTTCTGGATTATTTATGGCAATTTATTGGTTTAATTAATAAAATTATCTACTACAAAGTTACAAAAAGAGAGACTAAAAGTTTATATTAATCAGTTAAGCAGATACAGTCATATAGTGAAATTTTGCGAACGTCAGTGCAAGTAGAATCGTCCGGGTCGTGGGTTTGTGGTGCTGCCCGGCTGTCTTTATCTCCTTTTACCGTCTTACCGACCGGTTGGCTCATCACTGTCGTCTGATAACTCACGGAATCCTTCCACTAGTCCACGTACTCGGGGTGACAACCAGACAAAAAGAATTAATAATTATTTACAATTTTATTGTTTCGTGAATAAAAGAAGAAAAAACCTCCAAGAAGTTAAATATAATTAATTATAAATTAACTTCAACATACTAATTGTTACACCACTAAAAGTTTAATTAAATTATTGGAGGAAAAAGTAAATACATGGTCAACTTTTATTTATATTAATAAACTTCTGCAATTTTTCATCAAGTGATATACTGTGTTAAATAAGTATCTTCAAGTCCAGTTGCAATTTCACCGTGACACTAAAAAGAAAAAAAAACTCTTGATCAACTTAATGATCACGGTGTCAGTGTTCGAGTCGAGTTGGCGAACTTCTAGCATTTTTTTTTTTGCTCTCTGATATTGACTATCTCTGTCTTTTGACTCGTGGCGGACGAGACGGTTTCGCCGAGAACTATTGCGACATAAAGACTTGCTTGTGAATTTTGTTGAAGAAGTAAGAAAGAAAGAGACAAAAGCAAAGAGAGAAGGAATAAAAAAGAAGAAGAAAAAAAAATCAAAGTGGGAAGAGAGACTAGCTGCTTTAGTGGGCTTACAGTAATGACCTTCAAAAACACGAGGCCGCTAAAATCATTGGGTTTCCGCATAGAGCATGAAATCAGGGTGATAGCCAACACTGAATCGAATGTTTTAATTGATCCAAGTAACGAAAAATATCACTGCTATTGGAGATGAAATTTTGAAGATATACAGTTCAATGGAAAGTAAAGTGCAAGTTGGATGATAACAGTTTAGTGAAAATAAAAAAGTTTATAAAATATTTTTTGTTCAAAATAGAGTTTTTGTCAAAATAGTGCAATTCTTTTACTGTGTGCCTCGGACGCAAAAGAGTCTTCTCGCATATCATCTTGATCAAGACCGTTCCTTGCTAGCCTCTATGGAATACTGCGCCGAAGAATTGTACGTACCCGCCTTTTCAAAACCGGTTTCGTTCAGCTTCGTGAAACTCGAGTTCACATTGGTCGCGTTGTGGGAAGCATGAGCCTGAAAAAAACCGAATTTACGCAAGGACACACACTCAAGAGGTTCTTTCGTTAATGTAAATAGCAATCGAGAACGAAGAATATCTCAGAAAAAAACATTTTACGTTGTATAGGAAAAAAACGACAGAGAGAATGGAGTAGAAATTGTGAGAGAGAAAGATAGAGTGGATGATTTTTTTGTATATCACGAAAAGATCAGAAAAAGTGAAATTTTTTTACATCGTCAAATAATTTGATCGAGTGTCGAATGTACATCTGGAAATCACTATTGAGCTTCTGGTGAAACACCTGAATACGTGACATAATTTATTGACACAGATAGTGTGCTGAGTAATGACAATGGAGCTAAACTGTCAGAGCGAGGCGCAAGACTTACTAGGAGGTGGTCAACGTAGTGTCGACCGTTGTAAAACCTAATAGATTGTCTAATGACCAGTTCGGTTGACGTGGTTAGTAATGAAGCAGGCGGCGAATTCGCCTACAGCTGCCCAAGTGCAGTCAATAATATTCACCAGCACCGGGAGGATACGCCAAGAATATCGGCGTCCACCTGAGTCGGATACACTTGATGAAGATAACAAAGACAGCAGCACCAGGTCAATAATATCGGAGTTTAAAGACCAACACAATAATTCACCTAAAAAAGAAGAGCATGAATCTAAGACAAAATCATCACCGGCTATGTCAAGGATGTTAGCAGTAGATGCGGATAATTATATGCTTCGAAAAGGATCCAACAATTCCAATAACGGTGTCACGTCAGCGACCACGAACACTGGGCCGATGTCCTCGGCACCAACGCTCGTGACAACTACCACGACTTCATCGAATAATGTAGTAACCGGTGTGGTTCTTGGACTACCCGATCACAACCAGTCACGGAGCTTTGGCTTCAATAATAATCCCAGTTGGCAACACACGAATAACTCCAACAACGTTACATACTGCTCCTCATCCGATATAGTGACATCGGATCTTTCAGCAAATTTATCGAGCACGTGCGAAAACTTGCCATGCGCTTCATCACCCGGCAACGAGACCGGCCAATCGTCCCTGTCCTCCAACGCGCAACACCCGGACCCGTCGCCGCATGGAAACGACATCGAGCGTCCGTTGAGGTCGCGAGGCGGCGCCACAAGCATTCATCGTTGTTTGACAATTCAAAATCAAATGAGTGACTCGTCAACTGGTTGCATGTCACCCGTTCTATCATCCAACAATTCACCACCCACTTCCTCGTTCAACCAAACCAACGGCAAGCAACAACAGCAACGTTTTTTTAATGACAAACTTCTTGATACTGTTCTTTTAAATGCTCTGGCTAATCAGAATTTACTACAACCAAAGTCACAACTGGCTGATCTCCAGTTGCGGCTCAATTCATCAGAGTGTACCTCATCTAATTCCTCCTCCGATAGTGACAGCAATGTTGATTGTAATGGAGACAATAGCCAACGTGTATTATGTGCACGACCGCTTTCTTTTCACCAGCATATGTGTTGGTGTACCACAGCGCGGCGCGTTAGCAACAATGAGCCAGCGAACGTCGACAAGGTCGACAGGCTCATCGAGGTCCCCGTTGATTCTGGTCAGGTTCTCAAGGTCAAAGGGAGTAACGCTCCCCGAGATGAGCTATCCCGGGCCATCAATTGCAAGAGTCAAAACGGTATCGCTACGAGAAACGGCCTCGATAATGCCGCTAAACTTCAAATCCCTTATCACCAACGTATAAACTCATATTCAAGTCTTTGTTGTTGTATGTGTGGATCTGTGTGTCCTGTAGAGTGTCACGCCTGTTTCCACATCGTGTGTAAAGAGTTTAGCAGCCAACACTTGTGTCAGTGGGGAGCCAAGGGTCATGCACTGCCTGGACAAGTCTTTGACAAGGATAAGGTAAGCTTTTATTGATTTTTCATTAATCATTACCATTTCTTGATTCTATCATCAATTTTCATTTTATCATTATCACACTCAACTTAAATCCCACTTACTATGTACTTTATTCTTTCTCTTGCATTCTTCTTTTTTATCATTGCTTGATTGATACACTAATTCTGAGGTTATCCAATTGTGTAGACCTCGATAACCGATTGGGGTGTGCCATGTTTCGCGAGCAATGAACTGCTTAGCTTCATCAAGGCCACTCTTTCAGCTCTTAAGAACTATATATCCATTTTTAGACAATGACAAATATTATTATTACAATCAAACTCCTTCATGTCATTTACACTGGCTCACATACAAAATAATAATTCCGTTTAACTTCTGATATGTACTCATTTTCTCAATTTACTTAACTTTAATATGACTCCGGTATGACTTAATCATCTACACTCACAAGTACATATATACTTTACGATGCCATATTGCACTGGCAATGTCATTTGAAATCATACAGAGATAGCTTGGTGTTATCAACTGCTGTGCCAGAGAGTTAATGCATTAACCAACTTATAGTACATGTATAAAGCTTTTTTAGATAGAAACAAAAGCTTTCAAATTTAAAATAGACATTTAAATTTAAATTACCCAACTATTTGTGCTCTTACATAATTAATATATATATATATATTTTCCTTTTACTTAAAATTATCATTCAATTTCAAATATACTACAAAAAATAATCTTTTTTTCCACTGTAAATATTATGAAAAGAACTTTGGATTAAATATTTATTGGAATTTGTACAAATCATGCTTCTAATCTTATAACTTGTCAGAAAATATTTTAAATATGGAAGAAAATGATATCAGAGTTTTCTCAAACAAAAACAAAAGCTATCTGATAGGTGAACTGATATACAATATTTGATAGAAACCATACAATACTGATTTACACCCGGTCTACATGTATTTTTATCTTCAAGTCTTTTCAAGTACCTACCTATTTATTTACTCAGCTTATGTGATGTAGACCACACAAAGCCAGAGTATCAGCAGTAATCAACGACTATAATATAAAGCTATATAAGTAACTATGTACAGTAGTTTTGGGACTAGGGAGAAGTGCGTTGACATTTACTTTTTACGACTTAGTTCGTTGAATCAGAAAATAGCCAGCGATCGTTACGAAATGAAATTGAGATTGGAAACAGAGGGAGAGATATAGAATTCAAACGCAAGGTATATACATTATATTAACTTATACTTGAAGCTTTTCATTGTCCCCTCAACTCCTTTTCCTATCGCGTTTATTCATCATCATTTATAAATTTCTCACAATATACTTTTTATTTAGTATTTGATTCTATAAATAATGAATTATCTATAATCGCTTATCAAAGATTATTAATATTATTTTGTTATAATAATTTTTTAAAAAAAAGTTCATTTTTCATTGTCTTAATCAGATGAAATATTGAGCTTGTAATAATAAGAAAGGGGATAAGTGAGTCTTTTGATTCGAAAATTTATATACTTATAGAAGTTATTCTAGAATAAATTATTAAATTATAATAAACATTTATTGCCGATGAAATCATTTCGAATATGCCTGTATATTTACTTTTTTTATTCAGAACTTTATGAGCAGCCCTAGAAAGTCGTAAAACTGGTAGTATTCTCGTTAAAGTCGATGATTTAGGTCCAATTGACATCAGCTTATGTGTTTTCAGATGTCGGCTTTGCAAGAGTTTCATTTAAAAGGAAAAAAGATAGTGGTTGTTGGCACAAATACGTATTTATTTTATAAACTACCTATGAAGAATATTGGCAATTATGATCTCTTGTAAAATATATATCAAAATTATTGAGTAGGATAACAATAGATGCTGATGAATTTTAAATAGGTGTAGGAGCTCAAGTGATTCCTGCTTGTTATTTATTCTATTAAATGAGAGTTACAATTATGTACTGGTGTGAACAAATGAAGAGGTGGTAACTTGATGGTATTTTTATTATTTGCCAATTAGCATTTCTAATATTCCTTCGTCAGGCTTCCATAAATTCTATCGTTATTAACATTTATCTTCTTTATAATATCAATTCTCTGACTAAATTCAATTGAAAAAAGTGTCTAAAAAAATATCATAAAAAACTAGTAATTTTTTTTAAGAGAAAAGTAAATTATTTTGAATATATTCATATTTTTAGTTAATTATTTATTTTTAATCATTTCAATAGCAAAAAACTTATGAATATTTTTTCTCTGATTTGCGTTTATTTATTGAATCACTTCTCACTTGGAAGAGATATTTTTTAACAATAAAGTGATGATAATTGAATGGTAATATTGATTTGTGTACTTTACTGTATCTTTTAGATGAAATGATTTTTTCATTAATGAATATTATTTTCTTTTTAAGAAATTTTTTTCTTCTGCATCTACGTAATTTGTAGTTAATTTAGTTAGAAATAGATACTGGTGCTTAAGAGTACAGTAGATAGTCCAGAAGAAATCATGATAAAGGTGGATCTTCTCTTGAAGGACACGCCTGCCAACAACGACTCATCAACTAATTGCATTGATTTTGATTGAGGCTTGACTGAATTTCCTCTTTTAAACTCTTCTTTTTTCTCTAGCATCTTACTATTAAGTCTATAAATGAAAGTTTGATGTTCATCTTTAATTTGCGGTTCTCATTTTAATCGATTATTTTTCTTTTATTACTTTCTGTTAAAAGTCATGATATAATCATACAATTTATGTAATAACAATTTTAACTTTTATGAAGAAAAAAAAACAGCAGTTTGGTTTTTTTTTAAACCATCCATTTGCTGGAGAAAATAAAAATAAATATAGTAACAGAGAGATGGTACTGGTAAAATAACTTTTGAAAATATTTCAGATAATTTAACCTACTTTTAAATTAGAAATTCTGCCTAACTTCAGAGTTTTTGTGGAAGAAATTTATTTTCTTTCTTATTAATCGTAAATTCCTTCTAAAATTTCATATAGTTTTAAAGAAAATAAAAATCAAAATCTTTCTCTCACTTCAATAAATTTTCTTAAGATTTTGAATAAAATAAAAATTGGCTTTCGTTCTATAATAAAAACTAATGGGGCATGAAATTTATTTTTCGTCCAAGATTGTCATCTTCATCGTCTTCTCATTACCACTTCAGTACCTATTACAATAAAAATTAATCATTTTTATTAATTATAAATAATCTCAATTTTAAATATCGTATTTCTAAATAAAATTTTGGTATTCACTCTATATCACTTCTGCAAATTCTTTCGTCAAGATGTCTTTCTCTTCCTGCTATGTCTGGATGTTTCATGCTACTTATTTTTTTTTTATCCAAGTTAAAACATGCAGTAATATTTATTATCCTTTGTACATGACATGTTGACAAAATATCCTATGTTCTAACATCTGTACTTTTAGCTTTAGGTTACACTTGTAATTAGATGAAAAAAGTAGTCTTAATTTATATGAAATATTACAGAGTTTATGGTCTTTCTGACTCTAATCTCTTATGTCATGTTCCATTGGTTGTTCAGTCAACCTCTAAGGTATTTTTGTATTGATTGACTCGTTCAATTTTCTTTGGTAGTCAAGTGTGTTATGTCAGTGTCGGTTAGGGATTTCTAACGATAAGCATTTTCCATCTTGAGAGTATTTGTTCATACAGAAAACCATTATCTTGCAAACAATATGTACCCTAGAGAGTAATGTAACAGCAGCCTGATCAAGGTTTTCAAATTATTTTTTACTAAAAAAGAATGGTGTCTAGATCAAAGCTAATATTTTTGATTATTTCATTCATGTATTCTTAGCTTCCCAGTGGGAAGTTATTCTTTTTTATCTTTATTTAAAATAAACTTATTCTCATAATGTATCAATTCTATTGTCTATCAAAATATCATTGATTTTAATCTATGAAATATGGGATTAAATAAATAATAATAATTATATACTAATTCATCAAAGTGAGTTATTCAAATAAAACTAAAATTAAATGTATGTATTACAAGATAAATTAAATATTATCATTCTTATAAATGAAAATGTAGGTTAATATGATTAGTTTTTAATGTCAATATAATTATAATTGCTATAGTTATAATTATTTTATGTTAGTAAAATGATTATGACAATTAAATCAGTAAATATATAATCAGCGTCTTCATGAAGCGATTGATTAATGCAAAGTTTTACATGTCGAATAAATAGTAATGTGAATATAAAATTTTTAAGTATTTATGTGCACGAAATAGTTTAATAAAATTAGTAGATACTTTTATTATAAATGACTTTCTAACACCTTTTATTCCATAGTTGACTTTTGGTATAATATGTTTGTTATGATTTAAGACAATAGTATATCTCTGTTATCTAGACCTACTTTTTCTAATAATTTTACCGATCTCTTATCTTTAACGTTGAATACTTTTTCGTAATTTACGTAACTAATGTAAAGCCATTCCTCTAGTTAAACTAATATAAGCTCTACTAAAAAACGGTGTTCTCAACACTTGTAAATGATTTTTTTGTGAATTACTTTTAAACGTATTTTGCAGAAACTACTTATCATCCTAATCATTTCAAGTCTTTTGCAGTGTTTCTCTTTTTTGACAAAATAACTAATGAAGATTCCAGCAAATTCTTTGAAAATTTATGTAACTGTAGATTTTGTTAAATAATGAAGCTAACGACAAGTGATTTCAAATATCCACATAAATTCCATCTTGTTCAGAATTTTATCCAATTTTGGCTTAAGTTACAACTTTTTTTTTCCCTATCTTTTCAAGATTTTTCTCAGTTTTATATCTCCATTTCCATTATTTCTGACAACCATTGGTCAATTCTTCAACAGTTTTGATATATATCTGCACTCTCATATAATTTACTTTGCAATTTAAATAAAATTTTCTCCTTATCTATCTTTCTATTGGATTTTTTTTTACTTCTTTGTCTTGCTTGATAGTCGATGAAGCTATCACGCTTTTTCTCAAGTTGCTCAATCTCTTTACACTGTTCTTTCTAGCAGCTTCCTTCAACTGTTTTTATGTTAGCCTATGTAATCATTTTTATTCAAGGTTTTTTATCATTCAATATTCCATGCCTTTAAAAAACTCAAAAAATCTCATTAAGATTAATTACAGTAACTCTATTTGCGTTAGTAAAATATCTACAAAAAAACAAAAACTGGCATTAATCAAATATAGTTTTTCAAGTCAAAGTTTAAAGATAAAAAATGAAAATAAAAGTTGAATTTATTAAGAAACTTTACTAAAGTGTCTGAAGTAATATTTTATGAGCTTCCAAGATGATCTGAACTTCAAGTTCAGTTTTCATTTATGTAACTCTTTTTAGTTTGACATTAACATTATTTACTAACATAAGTAATGCCACGTCAGCACCAGGATATGATTCTATTAACTTGATATAGTTCTTGAACCATTCAATTATCATCACAGAGTCTATTTAATTTCTTATTATGTTGCTCTAGTATATCAATGAAAATACCTCCATGTTATATATGAAGCTTTTTAGGTAGAAATTTGAAGAAGGTATTCATTATCGAAAGTTCATTTTTCATGGAATTGAATCAATCTTCCCTAGCAATGGTGAATCATGTATATATCTATATACATTTTTATGAAAGCTATACCGCGAGATCTCTTCATGATTGTTTTATCTGTCGTTCCTACTTGGATGAGTGGTGTCATTATGGCCGTTGTGTTTGAGGTTACTCCAGGGACAGAGAAAATAAAAAGAAAGCGAGATGAAAAGTATGAGTTTGATGTTGCGCTACTGCTTTGTCTTTATCTTTTTATTTCATTTTTTTCTTTTTACAATCCAACGAGATGTACAGTATAGTTTGAAACTGAAGTAGAATTGAATCGACTGATAACCCGTTCAGATCGTTCGTGGACGAGTAATGGAGAAGAAAAAGTCAGAGACAAAAAAAGAAATGAAGTAGATGAAGAATAAGAAAGAGAAGAAGATGGAGGAGATGTAGAAGAGATGACTGGGAGGCGGGGGTAGTATATAGAGGGCGATTGCGCACAGATGCTATTTGAAAAAATATATAACCCTGTGTGCAGTTTATCCTTCCTCTCTTTCCCTTTATTCCCCTTTACTTCAAACTCGTGCTCGTTAACTCTTCATCGCCAGTGCCAGTTGGCAGTATCCCGTGTCTCACCGACCTTAAATCCATCATCCGTGGCTCTCTGGCAATGTACCAAATTTAAATAAGGGTTAAGATTAAAGAGCATTGCTCTGTTACTATCGTAATTGTTATCTCATCGAACCCAATCTCGTGAAGATATTCATTGTTAGTTTAATCCGTTTCCTAATGTTAAATTCACATAGAAATCAATTCCAATTTATCTTGATGATATATTCAAGATCATGAACGCAAATGTTCTCTTGATTAATATGCCAATCATCTATATTTCTCATTATTATTTTAAACTGTGTTATTCACTTTAAGGAATTTAGTATTTAAAAACTTTCTTTTTCAAAATCATGTTTTACATAAAACACGATAATATCTGTCTCTTCACATCAGTATTTAAACAATTTTATTATTTTTTTTAATAGTAAAAAAAAAAGTTTAATTATAATGCAATTTTATAAATAATAATGATTGCATGTACGTAACTAATTACTTTCATTAACCTTATTTCCTCGATTCAGAGAAGATAAAATTGAGTAAATATATTTTTATCAAAGAAATAAATTAGAAAAAGAAATTTTTTAATCACTACTGTTATATTAAAAATCATCATTTTTCATTCTCAATAAGTATATTTTTTTTCTTGCTCTGTCTTGAACTGAAAAAAAAAAATTGAACAATGGTAGGAAATAGTCCATTAAGCTTTTTTTTCCTAAAAAGTATAAAAATAAGATTTATACTATAAAGCAAAAATATCTAAAAGCCTAAAATAGTGTTTACCACCAAAAGTGATTGGGGCAATAGTTTTAGCTGGTTGCGTTGTCATGATATAAATCTCTTTTCCTTTATCTTCTTTATTCCTGGAAGGACGTAACAACAGCTACCCCTGGCAGTTTACTTCAACCAGAATAAATCAGTGTGATCAGTTGCTGTCGCTTTTTGTTCCATTGCTTCGCGGTTGAAAATCACGTGCGTAACGCCCAGTTGCACCAAGAATGACAGCTTAACGAGTCAAGGCTTCCAAGAAATCTTGGATAAACTAATCGATTCTACGCGGCTTATTAAGTTGATTGACTATGTACTACTCTGGAGGCCTATTGTTCTATAATTTCATTTATCATCATTTCATTTTGTTCATTCCATAAATGATATCTTGATTTTAATACAATCTCTAATTATTTGATAATGATGATTAAAACTATAATAATAACAATAATAATTATTCTTCTTTGTATTTAATTGCAGCCCGTCAGTGAATGGACATCCTTGAATGTCGTCGAGTGGATGTCGGCACTGAATCTTTACCGCTATGCAGACGTCTTCAAGTCTAAGGACATCAAAGGCGCCGATCTAGTTCACTTAGATCGAGAAAAGTTGATGGTAAGGAAGGAAGAACGAGTTATCTCAAAAATATCATGTACATCTGTTCTTGTTTTTTTCTTCCTGATCCTTTTTCATCTACATCACCACCGCCACCACCACTACTATCATCATCATCCTCATCGTCGTCATCAGATCTCTCTTGATCGTGTCTTTTTCTTTGTCTGCTTTTTATTTCCCACGTTAGAGAAAAATTCTAGAGGGTGAAAGTCACCCTTGGAGTATGTGAGACTCACGAAGCAAAAGGTCGACCGATAAAAGCAGTAAGTGGCCCTGTAGATCGTTATTAGCTTAGTTTTACGATCAGTTGGATACCCAGTCGACCCGCACCGTTATCCTGGCGTTAGTCTTTGTACAAGCGAATAGAAGAAGATGGAGTGAGGAAGAAAGACGATTGAGATATATATATATATATATAAAAGAAAAGAGCCGATTGGTAAAACGGTCGTTAGCCAACATCTTCAAGACGACGTAGTTCTCTTCTATTCATCACGACAACAACGAAACCCAGGAAAAAAATTGACGCGACAAAAATGCAAGGCGCCAGAGATTTTTCATTAGCATTAATTCCTATTAACATACTAATCGACTCGTAAATTATGCTCCACTCGTGTCCTTTCTATGCGTAGAAACAGCCTCTCCTATTCCCCACCGTGTTCTTCAAGTACTCCCACCTTCTTTTTCTTCTCTTCATCTTGTTCTCGCAATCTCTATTGGCCACCTAGCTTTTCTCTCAGCGCTCACCGTGACTTGGTTTTCGCTTATGAGCGCGGTAGCAAATGTCACGTTTCGTTGACCACGAATGCTTGTCATACATGAAAATTTATTTAATTAACTTTTAATCATATTTTTTAATCGTAATCCTTCTTTGTACAGAATATGGGAATAAAAGATGAGTTCCATCAGAAGAATATACTGGTATGCATCGAGGAACTCTGTCGATCGTCCTCATTGCCAGCATTATCTGCCACAGAAAATACTATTAAATCCCAGCTGACCAGCAGCAATGAAGCACCAGGTAATGGTGGTGATTCTGCGGTTGTTCTTGCTACCAACAATGCAGCTAACCAGCACAATCTCGTGCCACACAGCTTTAGTGTATTAGAAAAATGTGACAAGTGCCACAAATATCTCAGGGGTCTTTTGCATCAAGGATTTCTTTGCCAAGGTATGTTTATTTTCATTCATTTCAATCAAAAAAAGAATTATTCATAAAGGATCCAATCATTCTACTATTTTTCGCTGTATGACGAACCTCGACATTGCTTGATTTTATTTTTTTTTTCTTTCAGATTGTGGTTTGGTCGCCCACAGAACGTGCTCAGCAACGGGTTTGCCCACGGCTTGCATACCATCTGACCAAGAGAGCCGTGCTAACCGATTGGCTTCAGGTGCGCCAAGTTTTTATATCTCTCCTGCTTCCTTCTTTTTTCCTCTCCCACTATTGGACTAAAACCTTACGGCTTAACTTGATTATTTATATCACTTTATTTCTTTGAGATACTCACCTTGATATTCTGAGACACTCAAGTGACAAGGATTTTTCATCAGACATCTATATATGTAATTTTCAAGTATCCCTCTAAAATAATCAAATAATTACTTTTATTTCTCCAACATCAATTGCTAAAAATATTATAACAATTTTTTATCATCGATAATTAACTTTGCATTTTTTTTTCTAGTTTCTTTTTACTATTTCCAAAAATATTTTTACCGTTAAAAAATTTATCATACAGAAACTTTTATCACTTTCATGTGAAATTTATCAAGTTAGTCTGAAATTTTTCTATTTTTAAAATAATTTATGTGAACTAGATATTCTCATAGTTTATTGTGTTGATAATTTTAATCTGAATTATAATTTCGAGTATATTTAACTGATAAATATTTAAGTATTATGATTTTTATTGCTGATAAAATTGTTTCTATCAATGATTGTTTAGTAAAAAATTACAGTAAAAATGTGTCAGATATTGAACATGATGACACTTAAAGTCTGATTCATAAGATATATTTCTAATCCTTTCCATTCAGCATACACTCTGTCTCATGAAATCGAGTTAAAAAAAGAAAATTCAAATTTATAAACTAACTCGAATATAACCGTTACATTATATATGGATAAAAATGCATCAATTTATCTTCGATAAACCTTATTGTTCAGAATATTTATTCAACGACTCAACAGTTAGAAGTACAGATTAAAATATAAGCAAGCAAAATATTAAATTAAAATTATTGCCATAATAATTTGCAATGACTTTTGAAACAGTCTAATAATTTAATAGCATAAACCTACATCGGTCTATGCATTCACCTACGCTTAGCTTCTCCTCTAGCTACCGATAATTCAAATAAATGGCGTGGCTCTTTCTTAACAATCGTTCGTAAATTAAATTACGACCAAGGAAGACGATAAATAGAGGTGATGAACCGGGTATATAGTAATGTTACGGGTCTAAGGTCTGGCGCCACTCGGTGAAAATTAATGCGTGAACGCGCAGACTCGTATCATCTCTGTACCACGTGCAATGTTTAGCGATTCTATTATGACATACACTCACGAATAAAACAAAACATATTTTTACTTGAAGAATTCTAATCATGACAGCAGCTTTCAGAAGACTCAAGAGGCATGAATAACAATTATTTACGCAGTATTTGTCTCTCTGATAGCTTTTAGGAAGAATAAATTACTGATAACTTAGTGGCAGAACACCGGAAATTGTGTGTAAGATCTTCGAGCACTATAATAACCAAGTCTATGGTTAACTGAGAGATACTGTTTTATATGCGTGGTTTTTATCGTGGTTAATGAAGGATTACATCTTACACTTGTATCAATTGTGATTAACCCTTCAAATATGTTATTGCTAGGTCAGATCTTATACTTTAATTATAATTGAGAAGTTATGATTATTGACCGTGAAGTTGACCGATCTTTATTAAATTTTTATCTATAAATATTAATCGCTGACAACTAATCATAGGAATTATTTCAATGACATTCGAAAAATATTAATATAGAACTAGGTCTTCGAATAGAGTTATTTTTGCACGAGTCATTGCAATCAAATATCGTAGCCAATATACTTTGATAACGTTCCATTAACTGATACTATTTTATAAATATTTGTAATGATAATTTTGAAATTGGAAGTAGAATTATACTTTTTAATTAACTTGACATTAATTTTTCATTCAACCGATTGACAAGTTGAATTTTTTATAATTAACATATTTGTAAGATTATCAGTACATTGTTGTTAAAATATAACTTTTTTAAAATGAACTTAATAAGCTTAAATGTTATTTGAACATTAGATTACTTTATCAACTTGAGACTAGTGATTTAGTGAATAAAAAAAAAACTTGTATCTTATTCATACGTATAGGATTACGTAATGAAGTTTAAGCAATATTAAAAAGTATAATTTTAAGATTATATGAATGAATCTATCAAATTTTTAGATTAAAATAAAATAATTTAGTACTTTTTCTTCTTTTAATAAATAATAAATACGTACTAACATCATTAGCTATTTATTTTTTAAATGTAGAATTATTTAATTAATTTTATTCAAGTCAGTGACTCATGTAGAGGTGTATTTTTGACTTGTAAATTCATCAGACATTACTAACGATAGTCACGAATAAAGACAACGAGACGTTATTCAACACTCATCGAGTTATTCTCAATTGAAACTCAAATTGCACTGGTCGTTTTAATTTAATTTAATTTTTTATTTTTTCGTTCAATTTTTTTTTATTTCGTTTTATTCTTGAAGAATGACGTAGTAGAGTGCAGACAATCGTCGCGTTGCAACAGCCGTGGGTGCCGCAGCTGTAGAAATTAATTTTTTCTTCTCTCCCTGTGTAGAGATATTATAGATATACCCATGTGTTGCTTTTATGAGTCGCGTAATTCATGCTTCCAACAATTGAAGTCGTTGTGTCCCACGCGGCGCCATGAGTTTCATATCGTTGTAAAATTCGTATATAAAAGGTCGCTTACAGAACTTGCTTTATAACATCTGCATGGCTATGATGAGTAAATCGGGGTCACACGATCATCTAGTATCTTCTTTTATCTTTTTTTATTTTGACGGACATGTTAATAAAAAAAAGATGATGCGTGATCCGATACTTTGGTCATCGAGATCCCTTTATACTTGACACATTTTCATACATTTTTATGAGGAATCTAAGCTAAATTTATGAGAGTAGTAAGTGAAGTTTGAAATAGTGAAATAAATTGCTAAAAACTCCAATAATTTTTTATTGTATTAAACACAATTATACCTACTGACTCTGTTGATTTATGCATTTCCGTTAAATTCTGTAATTTATAGCCATATTTCCATTTGATTTTCCCATTTATTCCAACATGTCCGGTATATTCTATATTGTTTATTGACTAAATTTTGCGAGATTTATCTTATTTAGATTACATTTCTCATGAAATCTACCTTGTCAGAACACATTTTCCCTAAATTCACTTGATAAAATAAATATTCCTATTCTATTTTCTTTCAAGTTTCTTAAAATTTATGAGCATCAATGTAATAGAAATTGTCTTGATAAAATTTACTAGTTTTTTATCAAAATATGACTAATCATACTTTTTTCTATTACAGTTTTTGGCCTTGTCTTGTGTTCGCAATTTGACATATCAACTCGAAAAGCACCAGTTCTAGTTGAGAGATGTACGAGAGCGTTAGAAGAAAGGGCTTATCTTGATTCTTCAATAGATCTTTATAAAGTATATCACAATAGTCCACCTAATGAACAAACTTTGGAGTTGCGTCAGAAACTCAATCAAGGTAACGAATTACATAAGTTATGTAAATAATCTAAAGAAAATGAATAACTTGAATGAATAATAATTCAAGTGCATGATTACTTAGTTTTAAATTTTAATTGTTATTTTTTTTCTCTTCAGACGTCTATAATACAGACTTAAGTCCGTACAGTCTTCATTGCATCGCAAGTGTTTTAAAGAAGTTTTTGCGTGAATTGCCAGACCCTGTTATTCCAGTGCAATGGTACGATAGATTTTTAGAGGCTTCAGGTATGTAAATTTTAATTACAAAATTTTTGAATAAATGAAAAAAGAATTTTTAATTAGCTTGTTTTATCAATTTCAAATGTATTTTATTAAAAAAAATTTTCGATTCATAATTAACGTTATTGTTACAATCTTTATTTATTTTGTTTAAAAATAAATCAATGATTCAATTGTGAAAATGTTTTGTTTAGAAATAAGAAATGATGAGCAATGCGCTTCAAGACTCAATCAATTGGCTTCAGAATTACCAGAACACCACAGGAGTACGTTGCATTTTTTGATGGCTCACTTTTGTAGAATCTGTCAATTACAACATGCTCGTGGCTATACAGAACCACCAACAATTCTTGTGCAAGTAGTGTGTCACATATTTCTCAGGCCTCCTTGGGAACGCATTATGTAAATATTTTTATTATTCATCAATATTATTTGAATTTTATCAATCTTGTCTGATTTGCGAGTATAAGATGAAAAATTTATACAATTGTTTAATTAATTACAGTCAAGTGGTACACAATACAGAGGCTCATATTCGAATAATGGAGCTGTTATTACTTCATGGTAATTGGGGTGAAAGACTACCAGAATTTGCAAGTGCTCCGCAATTACCACCACGTAAAGTTTCAAGGCCGCAGTTTCCAGTCCTTGAATTTTCGGCTGTGGAAGATGATTCGATTTCAAACGATCATCAAATTAGTACTGATAATAAAGATCACCAGTCTCACAGGTACTTAACTCATTTCCATCTAAAACTTATAGTAATTAAAGTTGAATCAATACTTTTTAATTAATAGCCATGCATGTACTTTATTCAATAAACTTAATTAAATGAGTTTTTTTTTCTGCAGGCCTCGAAATCTTCAAGAAGCTGAGTGGTATTGGGGTGATATTACGCGTGATGAGGTTAATGAAAAGATGGTTGATACTCCTGATGGTACTTTTCTTGTCAGAAATGCCTCTTCGAAAGGCGGTGAATATACATTAACGTTACGCAAAGGTGGTACGAATAAACTCATCAAGATTTGTCATCGGAATGGAAAATATGGTTTCTCGGAGCCATACAACTTCCATTCTGTCATCGATTTGGTCGATTATTATCGAACTTGTTCGTTGGCTCAATACAATTCAACACTAGATATCAAATTGTTATATCCTGTTTCAAAATTTCAACAGGTATTAAGATTTTTAATCTCTCAATAAATTATTGACGCATGATACATTTTCATGTATTATAGATAACCTGTTATTAGACATAAATCTTTATAGAAATAATGTTTTTTTTAGGATGATGAAATCGCCAGTACCACAAAAGACATGCCAGACGTCGTGAAAAAGTTCCTTGAACTCAATAAGGATATGCAGAATCAAATAAAGCAATTTCAAGAATGTTCAGATTTATATCAAAAAACGGCCTATGAAGTGCAATTAAAACGTCAAGCATTAGAAGCTTTTTGTGAAGCTATCAAAATGTTCGAAGATCAAATTAAACTTCAAGAAAAGTTCCACGAAGAAGCGCAGCCACATGAAATATCTACGTAAGCAAACATTGATTAAACTTCATTTTTAGTTATAGAAACTTTTTTGTACTTCTATCAATCACTGAAAAAGAGGTGAAGTAAATATTGATAAATTTATTTTTGCCATATTTTCAATTTGATTAGATAATTATTAATATCATTATATTGTTTTTGTATTAATTTTTATTCCTAAAAAATGGAATATTTAAACTTGAGTATTATAAAATTTTTATTATCATTATTGTTAATCTGATAATTTATTTTTTACAGATTGACTGATAATGCTGAAGTACTCCGAAACCGATTGCAATCTTTAGAAGATAGTAGAGAGCAACTTGACGATAGCTTACGGCAGCAAGTAGCATACAACCGCACTCTCGAGCGTGAAATGCACAAGTTGAAGCCAGAAGTAATGCATATAATGCGCCAGAGGGAAAGACATGTTATGTGCGTATATCTTTTGCTTGAGATAATTTTACAAATATACTTCATTATCAAAAAATTAAGAATATTCCTTTTTATATTTTATTTTTCTTTTAACAGTAAAATTAATGTTTTTATTATTTCACTTGCACAGGTGGCTGAAGAATCATGGTATGAAGCAGTCGAAGATAAATCAATTAATAACAAATCATGGTTATGTAAATCCCGTCAGTGGGAGTTTGTTGTTGGGTGACTTGCAAGAGTTTGATTTGGAAGTTCATTCTGATGAAAAGACATGGCTTTACCTTGAAGGATCGCGGTCGGATGCTGATCGGCTTCTTTTTGGAAGACCTGATGGTACTTTTCTTGTGAGAAGGTCAAGGACAGGCCAATATGCTTTGTCAATAATGTAAGTAATTTAATTTTTTTTTCAAATTAATTAAGTATTAGGAATGAAAATTTTAGATCTATTGCAAGTTACAAATAATTAGTCGTAAATATACTATCAGTTAGACTATAGTATGTTAAATGTAATACTTATTTGTTAAATTACTTAGAAAAGAATTATATGTAGAAGCTAATTAAATTAATTGAGTACATCGTTTTTTCTAGGTGTAACGGTACAGTAAATCATTGTATTATTTATGCTACTGAGCGAGGTTTCGGATTTGCTGAGCCATACAATATTCATGAGTCGTTGAAGCATTTGGTCTTACATTACGCGCAGAATTCTCTTGAAGAGCACAACGAAAGTTTAAATACAACTTTAACGTACCCAGCCTTCGCGTCGCCATCGGCACTTGCTCAGTTACAAACGCAACAAATGCAAATACTTGCGCAAAATCAAAATCAGCTGGTTGGCAGTAATCTTCGTATGGGTGGTTGATTGCGATATTTTTAAGATTAATCTTACGAATTAACTTTTTTTACAAATGAAAAGCCTTATTGAGGCTTGGCTAAGTCTTTCTGAGTGATAATTTGCAAGATTTGCAATTCATTACTATGTTATGAATTTAAGAAAGCAATGTGAAGTGATGGTTGAACAAATAATATTATGATGGAAGAAGAAATCTACCGATCGACATGGTAGTGAAATATCGTATATATATATTATATAAATATATATTAATATAGCGATAAACTGAAATATTTGAAACATAACTAACTTCAAGAAGATTAATTAATCTTGCTGTTGTAGGCCGCTGATGCAGTCTTTCCGATGAAATTCCCATTAGTTATAAAGCATCTTTATGCTACTCCAAATGGAGTAAAGCAAAAAAAGAAAGAAAATGAAAATAAATTAAAATAACTTCAGACATTTTTATCAATTACTTTATAAATATGATAAAAGATTAATGAACTGTTTTAATCGTCATCCTTTCGATTTTTCTCCATCGTTACAACGAATTTTGTCGATTACGGGAGAAAAATTTAATTGATACGTAATATAAATGCTGTGCCAGCCCTAAGGTGCGCACCCGACAGAGTACGCAAAAAAGGGTTTGTAGAATAACTGTCTGTGATTTTGGATCGATAAGACGAACTAAGGTGTGTTTTTTTTCAGTAACTGTTATTTCTTGCTTATTTTTTCAGCTTTTTTCATTTTTTCTATATTCACAATATTGCTCTTGTGTTGAGCACAAGACAAATAAATGGCCCTATATATTCTTTAGAATCGCGCAAATGTCAGAATATAAAAGTTTAGAAGATAAAAATTCTTGTTTAGTAATGAGATAAAGTTTGTATTCATTTATTTGAGCAATCAGAAATTAGAGCAGCATTGATGAGGTCGTTTTTACGAGATAGCTGCTATCAAAGTGATAGTAAGTCGATTAAGAGAGAAATCGATTGAACGAGAGAGAATGAGAATGAACGAAAGAAAGAGAGAAAGAGTGTGAGAATGAGAGAGAGAGAGAGAGCAAAAATTAGAGAGAAATAAGAATAAAACGATTGATGTAATATTTACGCAGATGTGTACGCACGTTAATGTCCTCGTTTTGTCATCAAATATGTATAGGGCAAATATTCATTTATTAAGAATGTCTTTCGTGCTACCAGTAAAATGTAAAATTCACAAATCGTTCGATCCTGTGTCCATTTTTGGATCAATAAAACTCGTGTCTTCCACATTACTAAGTCACGATTATCATTCTCGATCTGTATTGCTGAATTGTTGACAAAAGATCTCAAAATATTGTGATCATCAAGCAAATGTGAAATTATTGCATTAATTTTTATTTTTTAATTAATTAAAGTAATTATTTTTATATTTAATAAGTCCTTTATATTTAATTAAATCTGAGAAATTATACGTTTACAGTGCGGTCAGTTAATGTATAAGAGTATTGGTTTTATTAAAAAGATTTTAAATATTTTACTATAACTCATGTATATTTAAAAAAAAATTTTATCATGTGCAAATATTACAATGCTTGATCGTTCACGCTACCAAAGTCAGTGAAGATGGATGAAATAATGTGGAATGTATGGCATTTTGTTGACTATAAGAGAATGATTATCAAAAGAACTAATCGAAGAATCTGAAGACACGAGTCTATTCAGACAACGGGATGACGAGGGTACAATGTAAAGAACACGATGACGAGTAATAATTGACGCAAGAAACTAAGTCAAAGGGCCAGATATTTATAAATGTTTATATATATATATCTATTATATATATATATATACATATTGTAATATATGTAAAATTATCTATAATAATCTTTTCATCTATGTAATCTTTAAATAACAATTTTTTCTACATATGAGCGATAAGCTTTAAAAGTTAAATATCAATGTCAGGACTTGTATTAATAGCAAAAAGCATTATAATGAATTAAATGAAAAAGAAAAGAGATTAAAATAATTTTTTCACATGAAATGACTTGATGAGTCGAAAGTAATTATGTAAATTGTACGGATTGTCGAGAAAGTTTTAAGATAGAATCTTTTGAGTGAATGCAGAGTTCTGGTTTACAATGATCTCAATTATCAATGTCGAAATAAATTCGACTGTAAAATAAACTTTTGTCACCATTTTTTCATGTTATAATGAAAATTTCATTTTAAATGTTTCCTCGTCATCTCATTGTATGAACAAAGAATGTTTAAGTGAATATATACCCATTCAATAATTGTAAAAAAGATATAAAACAAAAGCAAAAAAAAATCTATATATATATATGACATATATATATTATACATACTATTTACATATACTATATTTTTACTTACTTTCAAAAAAAACCTTAACCATATTATTTATAAAGCGTATACTGATAATGTATATGAGATGCGTTTAAATCATGTTATCATGACAACTCATTACTGGCGATAATAAAATGTCATTTTTTCTCTATATTATTCTATTGTAATTAATGAATTTAGAATCAATTATCAATTTTTTTTTAGGATCTATGTAGAAAAAATGACATTCTGCCTATTGAGGTATTGTCGCGGACGTTCATCGAATCTGTAGAGACTGATACGAACATTTTCCGCACTCTAAACATATAAAATTTGTAAAAATCCATTTTTATTTTTAACATTCAACTAGAATTGAAAAAATTCAATAACAAATTTATACGCAAAACAGTAAGCAACCAATAATAAAATTAATAATAGTAATAATTATAATAATAATAATGATGATTAAAATAACACGAGAACCTTTTTTCAATGTACGTAAAATTAAATGTGGGAGCTTATAGGTTGCAAGAGGTCGCAATGTAAAATATTCAGAAATTACTCTTGGACGTACATTTTTGATGTATACATACATGTCACTCGCGAAAAAATAATGCAATTGCTTCTCATGGTGGCTGATTCATTTTGACAGAGGATATTTAGTCTGACAAGTTTAATATTGAAAACAAAATTGAAAAAAATATTCAAAGAAATCCTCTTGGGGTTGACAGAAATATGAAAATGGAAAAAAAAAATTAGTACAATTGGTATGACATAGATTGTGCTCCAAGTTAAACATGTAAATATCATTGGGTGACGTGAGTATTTTGCATCTTGATAACCAATTACTTCATTTATCATTTCAATTTTTTTTTACAAATCCATACCGATTTACTCATATTGTAAAATTGACATTTTTTTGCAAGCGTGATTGGTAGAAAAAAGAAATCTTATATTACTGTCCATAAAAGTAATCACAAATGTCATCATCCATCATCATCATCATCATCATCATCATAATCATCATTATCATCATCATTGATAGTATCAGATTTAAATTAAATCATTATTAACAAATAAATAAAAATGAAAATAAATTTAAAAAATCTTTAAAAGATCGGCATTTTGTGAGATACTTTGTATATCAGAGTCGTTGGTTAGTTGATTCAAATTTCTATGCCAATGGCATTGACATATAATAAAAAAAAAATAAAATTGTCGTTAAAGATTTCAATTAATGAGAGAAAGTTAGAAAAAATGATATCTCTCAATGGTAAAAAAAAAAATGCAGTTTCGATGTATAGGCGCGAATTCGAGTTCTATCTTGTCATCAGGAGTAAATTAATTGTCTTTCGATGGGAGGAAGATTAATGTTGCCTTAGCTTTTGTACAAGTCAAGCATAATCTGAGAAGTAATGCTTGAGTAAATCAGCAAGAGTCGATTGTATTGAATAAATCTAATGTATGGGGACAATGTTTTTTTTATCAAAAGTGATACAAACACTTATGCATTCAAGAATATAACAAAGAAATAAACAATAGTTGAGGAAGAAGTATTAGAACAAAGGGGAAAAAATTGAAAAATCGAATGAAAGACAGCATTTTTACAATAGATAAAAAAAATTGATTAATGTAAGTACCTCTGATGAGGCTGTTTGAGTGGTAAGGGGTTAAAGGTGGCAAATAAGCGGATAATAATCTCAATTGTTGATGTTATTCATGTGCGATAAAAATAGAATGAACGCGAAAGAGTAAGCCTTGCAGCAAAAAATAACAATACCAATATGTGAAACATAATGTATGACCACAGATAATCAAATCATTTAAAGAAGAAAAAAGAAAAAAAAAAGATGATAGTGATTATTTAATATTAGTAGTGACGTTAGATAGTAAATAAACATAGTAATTCATATAACTTTTATTGTCACGTATCAATTTAAATCTGACCTTTTTCTGTTATTAATAATTAACATGTTTATCAAATTAGATTATTTTAAATAGAACACCAAGTAGTTATGAGCATGAAATCTCTCAATATATTTAATTAATAATTAAATAGTTAACATTTCTAGAAAAGAAAAAAAGAAATTGTTTAAGATTAAAAAAAAAAAAAATACTTCTTTTAAATAAATGATCCTTTGTAAATTATTTACAAAAATTATATACAAAAAAAAATTTGTATTTATTTTTATATCATAACAAACTATTGAATTATTCTTAGTTTGGTTTTAAATAATTTAGGATTGATGTAAACTGTCTGCCAATACGTAGATGTGTATTGAAAAAAAAAAAAACAACCTGAACTAACATATAATTACACAGAAAGGTGTAAATAATTATCATCTAAAATAATAAGTTTAAAGATTGTCAGTAGCAGAGAATTTTTTGCATTTCTTCTGATAGATTTATTATACCGAAAAGCTGATCTCTGATAATGAATATCCAACAAAACTATTAAACAAATTTTAAATAAAACTAATTATAATGATAAAAATAATAATAATGAAAATACAAAAAATACAAATAATAATAAAATATAATAAGCCATAGATTGTTGACACTTGAGCGCTAAGACTGAAAATAGTCGAGAGAATAATTGCTGCAGGGCTATATGTAATTGAGAAAAAACAAACGAGCCATAATACAGTGAGAGAGCGTGAGAGTGACAGAGGATCAAGTAAGTCCTAAAACGTGATGGCGAAATGTAGTAGGATCTATCGATGCAATTATATGGTAATATTAAACAAACAAAATGTACGCTGTCCCACTGTGATAAAACTTTTGTTTAATGCATGTAAAATATATATACTATATTAATTACTGTCATAAGTATTAAATGAAAAAAAAAATTATATTATGTGAGGTACGTATGACTATATAAGTGTGCAAGTGTTTCGTGCAAGATTCTTGTTCTTACTGAACTGCATATATGTATGAATACATGCATCTGTAGTCGTACAACTGATTTAATTAGGCGCTCAACTGCGCAGTGATGATTTACTGACGGCGAAGGAATAAATGCAAGGATAACGATATACACCGTTCGACGATGGAAATATATGTAACAAAATAGAGTTACATGAATGATTGATATAAAGAAATAAAAATAAAATACATTAAAAATAAAATTTTTATGATTGAATAGTAAAGGGCATACATAAGGAAATGCATGAAGATATACAGGAAATAGAAATTCCGGCCGAAAGTACAGTATTATAATATAATTCTGAGCTTTAGGCTCTATATTTGATATAATCAACCAGTGTACTGTGAATAAATTCCCCTACTATCTATTATTAAAAGAAAATAAAAAAAATAGTGCATCATGTGATTTCTGCTTTGCGTCCTATTCGCTCTTCATTCATCAAACAAGAGCTTTTTTAAAATAAAAAATACAAATTTACAACAATTATTTGTGAGTCGAACGGTGCTTAACAAAGGTTCATATTAAAACATTCACTAAATAATTATTAATAATAAATGAATTACTTTAATGAACAAATTTTTTTTTCTGATTAAATTAATAAATATCTAGTGAATGTGTGATGCTCGTGACTTGGAATGAGTGTTAGTCCATTTGTTTGCGCAATGAGAACGTAAAAATAAAAGAAAAAAATATTGAAAAATTAAAAAAAAAAAAATATAAAAGAAAAATGGCCATTATCGTATTATAAATTTAATTTCGTAGAAATCAATCTGTAAAACCATTTATATTTGCATATGATTAATATGTTTTAATTATATTATTGACGTTTTTTTAATTAACCAGACCCAATTCCTTTAATGTAAGTCAAGTTACGTTAATTATGTGACTATTAGTCTTTACAGTATGACCTTCTACATACTTTTTATTCTATTCTTTCTTTACATAGACGTGAACTTATATTCAGCTAATAATATCATTCAATAACAATTCAATATTTGTTATACTCTTTCTCATATTATCTTTATTATGATTAGTTTTTTTTTCTCTAGAGTTAAGCTCATATCTATTGTCATTCTTTTTCTCATTATTTTTCTAGTTTTATTTACAGATAAGAAATAATCCATTCATATTGAACGTTAATTAAAATTTATTATCATTCAATAGACAAATTCCGACTTAAAAGGATTATTATGTATTACTCAATTTGATATACCTTTCTATTGACTGTACACTTCAGTAGTTAGTGCACGAATTAGTCAGACGAGTAATGGCCTGGAAATTGACTCATTTTCTTGAATTGTCGAGAAGTGAGTAGTACAATTCAAACGTGGAGGCTTTATATTGTAGTTAAATGTGTTAAAGCTCTTATCTGCCTTAGCTGAGACTTGTTCTAAAATTTAAACAGCTAACTGTTCTTATTTAATGAAGGTTTTTATTTTTCATCAGAAATTTTTTTCCAATCATCGTTGAATTTAAATGACATTCGCTTGAGGCAATCAATCGAAATCGTTCAGACATGCAGACATGAAACATCAGAATATAATCGTGAATTGATAATTTATTCAATTGGCAACGAACCTTACTGCTAGACATATTATGCTGTGACTGGCACAGTTCGTCGCACGTTAGTAAAATTAATATAAAAATACGTAGTTTAAGCTTGCGCAGAAATTTTCAGAAAGGTCACAGAAATAAAGCAATACACATGCGCGTCTTGCTAAAAATTGTATAGGCTGTTTGCACACTGCGGGGATGAGGTCATTATTGTTTAAGGGGTAAACTCTCAACACAGGTTCAATTTCTACGACGATGGTGTTGTGGTAGAAGCGTAAGAGAGTTTTCACATAAGCATGAAAAAAATTTTACAAGCAGATTACATACTGTTATGATTGTGGTAAATGTTGAAAAAAAAGTATCAACAGAAAAAAATATGATAAAATAAAAAATAAAAACTATCACCACAATAAAGGATGAAAAAGATATAAAGCGATAGAACGAATGGAATTATACCAAATTTACATGAGAGGATTGAAATGAATATTCATAGGAAATATTTAATAATTGTATCAAGAAATGGATATTTTTATGAGGAGCTAAAAGATTATTTAGATTTACGAATAAATTTAAAGAGAAATAAACAAGTTGAATAATTAAGTTGAATTTATTGATATCAGGTTTGCATTGAGGAAATGGTTTGTAAGTCAAGTGATTATGCAGATACTACTTGTCATTTATACTTTATGTAACTTTAAACAATGGAATCATGATTTTTAGAACAAGATAAGATACTTTGCTTCTATGTTTAAATATTTGATAACCTCCTGAACATTAAAATTATTCTTAACGTTATATCTCTTTAAAATAATAAATCTAAATATCTTTTTATAGAAATATTGATGTGGTTGTAAAATTATAATCAATAGAAAGTGTCTTTGCAATTTGCATCATTTTGTAGAAGTGTAATTTATGACCCTCTAACTTCGCCACTTTGACCCAAAAGGAAGTCTATGGTCCGTATACAAGAGTTCTTGTGTGGTAAAGCACGAGAAAAGTAGTAGCATTCGTGCAGAAAATATTAAGACTCCAAAAATGTTACGAAGTGGACTTTAAAGAGGTCTACATTGAGGTAAAAAGGTCAAGTAATCTTCTGATTCACATAATATATGAATTTATAATTTAGCTATTTAAAAAATTTTTTAACTTTCTTTCTCTTTGGTCACTTCGTATCATCTAGGCTTATTCGTGACATGAGTATAAAGAGCATAAAAGATAAGAGTCTATAGAAAAAATTCTAGTGGACATCGCTCTTTCATCTGAAAGATTCTGATACCACAGGTGTCGTAGTATAGTTTTTCTTGTCTCTCCAGATAATTCCTTTCTACTAGAATAAGAGTAGCAGCAAAACCAATACGACCAAGCATTTTTTTTTTTCTTCGTCCAAGTTTTTACCATTTCTTACCAACGTCTTTTCTCTTCACATATATTTTGAAAAAGAAAGATTTTTCATGTAGGAATAAAATGATTTGAAATAAAAAATATCTCATTGAACATTTTCTATAATGGAAGACTTCTAAGAGCTGAATAAAAAATTTCTTCTCTTTTTCCATCAAATTATAACCGAATATTATTTCTTTTCATACAAAAAAAAATCTTCCAATTTAGATAATAACTTTTTGCATCAGCTTTTTTACAGTAAAAAATTACCCTATTAATTAAATATTAAACTAAACTTTATTGCAAATAAGAATAATAAATAAAAAATCAATTCGATACGAAGGGGACTGTATTTCTGTAAAACCTACTCTGTATTTTCTAAAAAAAAAAAAAATGAATAAAACAATTCTCTATAAATAATAAGTCGTAGCCTGTGGATATAACATGAAAAAGGTAAAAACATGTTATTTTAAGGGGAAATTTTTATTTATTTTCAAGTTAAAATAGAAATTTCACAAAATAATGTATCTCATCCTCTTATCAGTTTCTATCGAAACTATTGAAAACAACCTATCATTATCATTATTTTTGAATGAATTCTTCAGCAGTTTAAATAATTGATATCCTGAAAAGTCACTATGTTGTAATCGTCGAGAAGTAACTATTGGTTTTTTTTTTTTCTTTTTTTCTAAATGGACAAAATTAGTATTTACCCTGGAAAGTCAATAGAGACATGTGGCAGACATCAGTACGTGCATTAATGTTATTGGCGGGCTATACGTTAGTTACGATTATTATTACCGAGGACGTGGGCGTTTTGTAGGTGCGAAGAGGACCCGAGGGGATGTGAGAGAGGATGTCCCGTAGGATTTCATGAAGGTAAACGAGGAGAGTAAAGAGGCAGAGGGATATTCCAGGCAACCCTGTCACCGACCCTAACAAACTGTGGAACGAGGTCAGGAACACGATGCTGGCGGCATGGCAGGGTGAACTGGGGGTAGTTTAGCAGGTCGGTGTGACTCGGGTGGATTCGGTGAGTCTCGGTAATATAAGGTGCAGGAGGTTATAGCGTTGAGGGTGGCGCGCGTTGCGATCAGGAGAGGGGACAAGAGGCGCGAAGGCAGGATTCGAGTTGGGAAGGTGAGCAACTAGAGGGCATGTGGCAGAGCTTCGGTGGACAGGAGTCACGTTCTAACCGGTGTTCACTACGCGTTCGGACTCATTGGGCGTTAAGACATCGCGGCGTGTAGTGTTCAAGTATCTTCGAGCTTATATATCACTTGACACGAAGTGTGTCAGACTATTTAGAGCTTCAATAAGTGCTCTAAATATTCAATAAAAAATAAAAAGCTTTATATTGTTAGACTATTTCCCTGCATAACAATCAAATGTGCTGTGACATTTTTGGAATAAAAAAAAAGAAGAAGAAATAATTAGTGAAATAGTGAAGTTATGATGAATGTTAGCATGCGTTTATAATTGGTTTTACGTAGTGAAGATTTTGGAGTTAAAAAAAAGAAAGGTGAAATTAACGAGAAGTCTATGTGCCAACCGGAAGTACTTCACCATTAGTTGGTGGATTTGTAGACTGGCACGGACAAGCACCACTTGCTTTTTCTCTCTTTTAAACTTGTCTATCTTTATCCTTGTTCCTAGTTATAACTCCTTCCATACATCAATTGCATCAAGGTCCCTATTATTTTGTTTCTCTTTGTTTTAATATTTTTATTTTGTTTTCGTGAATTCCCTCGTGTTTTTCTTTGAAGCGTTCTTTGGAAGTTCGTTTGCGGGCCCTTCTTATTTTCAACTCACTTCCTGTCAAAGTTTTTTTTTCTCTTCACTCGACTCCTTTTTTTTTCTCTCTACTCTCACACGATCCTAGTCTTCTTTTATCACACTGCAGTAGTAGAGCAGCCTTGGGGTTATACTGTCGCTACATTCAGTCACTTTCAAGACTCTTGGGTACGTGTGTACTTGTCTCGTTGTCATTCGGCTCTTCACGCGCGTAAACAAACATGAAGAGAGTAACTCATCAGTCATTCTGGCGCGGAAAAATACAGGGAAAAGAATAAAGTCAACAATTAAAGTCATAAAGTACACATATCAGGAAGTGAAATCACAGTGAGGATGAAGTCATTGTGGTTTGAAGAAGTACGTTTGACAGCAGATATGAAGATGCTGATGAGAACTACGATAGAAGGATCATCATTAGGCTGAATTACATTTTATTTATTTATATTGAGGTTAATAATACATTTGGAAAAAGGTGTTTATATATGTGCAAATACCTGATGTGTCAATATATAATCCTTAAGAAGTGGAACCATGTCACGTGTCGGCATTAACTCACCAAATTTTGTGCATCTGACGTTGTCTTGTCAGCCACTACATCTACTATTGTTTGTACTCATTACAACTAATCTAGTGGATGCGAGTGAATTTCCTGAGAGAGAATGCTGTGATCCAATTTATCCAATACCAGAGCCGACGAGTAAAGTGCCGTCTGTGCCGGCTCCTACAGGAAAAAGTGGTAAGTCTTCTTTTCCTATTTCTTTCTTTCATTGTTTATTTATAAGTATACTTTAAACCTTCATTCTTTCAATCATTTTACAATGTTTCATATTTACTTTACTTTATTTTAAAAATTTATTTATACTATTTTACTTTTCTTTCAAGTAATAAAGACTTTAGTTTTTAAATAACGTGTTTTATAATAAACACAAAAAAGACACTTGGAAATTAATTGTCTTTATGAGTTTTTGTACGTTTTATTATCTCTTTTCAAATTGAGGATTATGAATTAATAAAAAAAAAAAAACGTTGAGCAATAAAGATGTTTAATATCCACGAGTAGAAGATTGAAATAAACCAGAAGAATTTCAAATATCTGTGTAGATGGAGTTTCTTTATCATAGTTTATTGGAGGATATTTCTAATTTTTATCATCATTTAGTAAAATGTATTAAATAATTGAAATATTCCTAGAAAGCATATATAACTGAACATTTTTACGTTTCAATATAGGAGGGTGATACACATATCATGTATAATAAATGACCTTATTTATTATTAAACACCTGGATCGAAATTTCACTTCGTAATATGTTGTATGTTTTCCCCTTGATTTAAAACTGTTGAATGCCGACTTCCATAATTAATTGGTTATTCTATAACTCAGTTGATGAATATATAATTTATCTACAAAAAGTTCATTATCAAAACAAAAAGAGTAGATTTTTGATAAATGTTTGAGGAAGGGTGGAATAACAGAAGCAAAGGGTATCCAAATGAGTATAGATGAATATGAAAAAGATGGTGAAAGTCGTGGTAAAAGTAATACTTGTTGAGAGTCAGACCTCATTGACGTTAAATCGTACAGAGGCCAAGCTTTAAAGCGAAGTTGCTATTTCTACGCGACCTACTTTGTGACGGATCCTCATAACGAGGTCGCTTTAGGACAATTTCAAAACGCCCGTGGCTCAAGACTCTTCTTGCCACTCTCTCACCTGACGTCAGGACTCTTAAATGATTCTTGTCACTTTTGTATGTATTTCTCTTTATATCTTTTACCTTTTCATAGAGTTTCAGTTGATCTTAATTTAGCAGTTAAATGTTTTTATCAAACTCTCTAGGTATTAAATACCTTTTATTATTTTTTCATTTCAAATAAACTGCCATTAATGAGGTGAATTAAGAAATAAATTTTAATAGACTGCTATGTTATTGGGAAATAAAAGAATTACTATCCGGTGATATTTAAGTTTAATTGATGAAAAGTCACAAATGTATCCTGCAGAATATTGTTAAACGTAAATCAACAAGTTTTATTTTCATCTTAACTACTTTTTTTATTTTTTGTTACATTTTTCTTGTATTACATCGATTCTCTAAATTTTATTTCAAAACGGGTCATAAATTTTTTGTTCAAATTCGTGTTTTTATTCTCCTTTTTTTAACTTTTTTTTTATACTACCAAAAGCCACTACCGTGAACATATTTTCAGCGCGATCTTTTTTTATTGACACTGTAGCTTTTCCAGGCTTTTAACAACAATAGCTCTTATATAAAATACTATTACGCTTTTATAAACAACAACGTTAGCATATAATATTATGAGAAAATTTACTGTAAATCCGAAACATTTTTCTTTGTAATTTAAATTAAAAATTGCTTATTGTTGTTGTTCATTTTTTTAAGCTGATGATGATTAGCAGAAAAAAAACAAGTGATTTTCAAAAAACTTTATGTCAATCTATGTAGTCACTAGAGAGGCTATACAGTGAGCTCTTGAGAATCAGTGAAATACTTTGAGTCCAGTCGGACGTTCAGCTTTTTATTTCGAAACTGTCAGAGTCATGTGGCGCTTTACCCACTTGCGACACGTGAGAACCAATGAAGGAATCTCTTGAGAGTAAATAACCAATCGGCAAACCAATATTGAATGCGGGTGACACAAGTTTTGTAGTCAAACAGTAGCTACAATTTTCTAAACTAAAAAATAATACTTTTTTCCCTACAAATTTACAATCTGCAATTGTTTCATTTTTGATTTAAAGTTAAATTTAATAATAACAAGTATATAAAGAAAACTTTTTTTATTATTCAATTCAAGGACTTCTTCAGTAAATAAAAGTAAAATTATTTTATTTTTATTCAATATGATGATACTCATCTGAATTTTTTTAATAATCAAGTAAATATATTTTTATAAATAATTTCCTACGGGGAGGTTAATAATGCTACATTTTTCTACTAAAAGTGCCTCATAAAAGTACTTCATTATAATTTTATACAGAAAAATTATAAATTATAAATTTATCAAGTTTATTCAATTAAAAGAGTATCTTGAAAATTTTTTTATGTCAAATATTAAATCTCTTTTGTTTCAATTTTAAGTTAATTGGTTTTACAATGACAAACACATTAACTTTACTTTTTTTTTTATTAAAATTATAATTACTTAGTACTTTATTATATTAATAAATCTTGTTCAGTCTTGTGCTTCCAATATCCTGTAAATTTATTAAAATATTATGAACCCATATATCATGATTAAATCAAGGAAGTTGATAGAATCATTTTTTGCCAATTATCAAATTTTTTTTCCAATCCATTAATAACACTCTAAAGATCGAATGAAAAATAAATCAAAATTAATGGAAGCATTTAATCGAAGTTCAATTATAGAATATGTTATAGGATATTCTTTGTACATTAAATGTGATTATCATGATAATGCATCAATTGAATATCTATTTTTCTTTGGATTATGAGTTTGAAAATAACAGTATTTATTTTTGATTTATAATTATCGAATATGAAACATTTGTGTGCATTAAAAATTGAATTGAGCATAATTACATACAAAAAACAATTAATTAATGCGAATTTATTATTTAAATCGCATTTATATATACTAGTAGCGATAATCACTTGGTAATTGCATATTATTTATTCTAGATTAAGATGATAACGATCGCGGACAATTGCGAATTATTTTATTCGTGTTATCATTATTCTTTTTTTTTCTCTCTCTAATTAAAAAACAAATATAATATAATTTATTATTCGTTCATCAACGCTTGGAAGTGTGATTTTTTTTATTTAACTAAAAAAACATGAAATTATTACCAGAGTAAAAATAATAAATCTGGATACATTCGAAAACATCCAATAAGAGTTATTTAGACCGAAAAAAAGCGAGTTATATTTTTCAACGTTTTTTTTCTTGTGTTATCTGTAAATCATGTTGTGAATTTAAGAGTTTATATTAAACCTATAACTTAACTTGGGAAATAAAAGTATGTTGTTCTTGTTGTAGTTGATGTTGGACTTAAACAAGTATATTCAAGTAAACAACAAAGAAAATATTCAAACTTTGAGAAACAGTTGGATAATAATTAACGTTTATTTTAATCAAAAGGAATAATAGATTTTTTTCTATCAATTCGCTTAGTAACGATTTAATGATCATTTGCTGAATTAGATATATCTATCGAGTTTATGCATACAATAGATAAAGATATTTTTGGTTTCAAGTATACATATCATAGAAAATCTTTCATACATATAGAGATAATCTCCTCTATCTGTATTCTCTGTAGACTCGAGTTGAATGTCAGTTAACTCAATTATCGATTCTGGGAGAGCGTTTAATTTATCTATCACCACGACGTTTATTTAATGCGTTTTACTGCTTTTCGAATCCCATTTTCAATGAAGTGACAGTGGTCGAAATGTTTTATTGTCGTCCAAATGTTCTTCAGAGAATAATTGAAAGTTTACTCATGAAAATGACGAAATAATGTAAACGAAGATCTAGTAAATACTGTTGTTAGATTTGTGTATCTAGAATATGCATGAATTAAATAAACGTATGTTATGATGAATTGAGAGCAATTAATTTTATACTCAAGAGTTGGATAATTACATTCATTAATAAAATAACTTATAAACTATTATGACATGCAAGCAAGTTAATCAACTCGGAGAATATTATGCAAAATTTCTTTCTGAAACCAAATGAATTTTTAATTCCTTGTTTTTTCTTCATTATAAGATTTCTCGTTAAACTTTGTCTCCAAGAAATAATGATAAGTTGTTTATTTTATAAAATTTTCATTCACTCCTTAATAATAAATGTATATTATTTATCTTTAATTAAATTCATTAACCATTTAATCATCTTAATTAAAATCCAATATAATTGCTCAGTTGTTTACTTTATTTCCTTTGAACTGATGTACTCTGGTATATAGGGGTAGAATATATTTATAAAAATTTTCTCTGAACATTTAGAAGTGGGGGGAGGGGGTAAGAAAGTTTTGCTGTTCTACGAATTCTTAACTTAAACTCTGTTATATATTTCTCTAGAAGGTATAGTTATTTAGATTAATTATTCAAAGCATAGATTTACGAGTAATAGTGAAAAATAGCCTTCTAAGGGTATACTTATATATGCTAATATAAGATTAATTCGACAACATTCAAACTTGTGTTGATACTCAAATACCGTCGTTTAGGTGGTGTTCGTCACGCAAGCAAATTTCTGATCAGCATATAGGTACGATGCCACGCGATGACAGCAAAGGTTACTCAGCATTTCATGTATCAGTTATGCGTATACACGTGTATTACACTATTTTATCAGTACCTTACAATAATCTTCAATGAGAAATTAGTTATGACAGATATTTATTTATTCATGAAACTTTATTATTAACAAGTTAATATGTCATCCATTTGTTAATTTTTCAGGAGATAATGAAATTGTAGAAAACTGACTTATATTATATTAATAATAAAGATGATTGAAATTGACTGAGATTCAATGAATTATTAAGTTTGATATTTTAGAATATTCAAATCATCAGAACACCCGAGATCTAGAGAAGTTTAATTTTATTAATAAAATACCTCAATATTTCAATACAATATTGTTATTAAATCATGCAGACTCTAAGCTTTCTTATGAAAAATAAATTATCGTATTTTCTTATTAATCATTGTACTTTATGATGAAATAATTAA